ATACATTTTAAACTACTTTAACATTATTTAATGTAGATGCTGGATCCCTGATATGTGTGGATTTTAAGTCTAAAGTTCAATTTCAAACAGTTTATTTTATTTTCAAGATCTGAGTTAAACTATTTGCTGCCGCTTTCAGTAGTATGTAATAAATGTCATGTAAAATGGCATTCAAGCTCTCATTCTTAGCACTAAAAAAAGCACATAAGATGTACCTGAGGTTATCATTAGCTCCTTTCACAAAGTAATATCGATAAATCTCTGGAAAATGACTGGAACGACTTTAAATTCAATTCAAAAAAGCACTGTTCACACAGGCGAGAATGTTCTGGTAATTTTCTGGAAAAGACCAGTCACACATCCAAAACACCGGTAAATTCTGACATCATTAACCAGAAATGAGCTTTAAATGGCAGCACTTGTATTTATAAACATAGAAGGGGTCTAGCTTTTTTGTTGATGGTTTTACTTTTGTTTAAAGCTTTATCATTTATGCGGCTGCTTTGTCCCAGAGGCATCCTAAATGTTACAAAGTTGATGAAAGCATATAGAGGAACACTTTTGCATGTCGAGATGTACATAATATGTGTGTGTGCTGAAGCTCACTGGCTGCTTTACGTGCACACACGTTAAGTAACTGAAGCAGAATTCGAAGGTAAACAAACAGCAGTTTTTCATAAGCATTTTATTGATAATTTTTCTCACAGTTGACATTAAGAAGGAGCATGGAAATGATATTTGACTAATATCTAGCAGCTAAATGTGTCTGGAAAAATGTTCGAAGACTTTTATTTTCATAAACAGAGCAGATGTGAATGTGTCTGAATGTTCTGATTGGCTGGAGTAGACGTCTCACGTCACTGCATTCTAATCGTGAGCGCAATCTTTCCAGCAATTTTCCTTCTGTGTTCACACAGTGCAGCATTCCAGTAAATAACTGGTGATGTTACAACTTCTCTTACCGGAATATTGCTGGAACAAATTTACCGATAAGGGCCTGTTCACACATGATCCCTTTCCTGGAAAGTCTGTATGTGTGAAAGGGGCTATTTTCAGTTTTCTGTTGTTCACCTGTGAGAAATAAAAGCCGTTTCTAATAAATCAATTCGAGGAGTTGGTTAGAAAAGAAACTCCTTTTAATTTGGTGAATATTCCTTCTATCGCATGCCATTGCTTTTAATAGAACACTCACTCCTGTTAATCCTGGCAACCTCTGCTTGAGTTTGTTTTGATCCAGGAGTGCAATACCTAGTTCAACCACTGGGTGTCAAATTTACACTGCACCTTTAAAAAAAAACACTCAACAGATATTTCATCTTATCCCTGCACATTATCAAAAAATCACAGTGTTTTTTCTGAACTATTTAATAATTTTACACATTTAAGTGGTGGGATTAGACACATTCCCAACTGTGTTTAATTTAAGTCTCCAATTCTTTCCATGTTGAGATGCAGCCCTGTAAAAAATTAGATGTGTGTGTGTTGCATCTTTCCATTGTGAAATTGTGTGCCGTATCTGGATGCGAGCCAGTCTAAACGAGCCACATTAACACACGTAATGCCATCGCGCTTGCCAGCCCGAGTGCCTTATAAAATCTTCAAATTCCACTCAGCACTTTGAAGTCCGTTGCATTACTTTTTAAAGCATGGATATTTGCAGTTGTTACCCTTGTTCAGCAAGTCTTTACTGCGTGAGGTATGTTCTGTGATTCTCTTTTGAAGTTTTCGGAGGTAAGTTAACTAAAAAAACATGGCGCTGTCTAAAAACAGCAGCTGTGTTGGTGAAAGAGATGAGCCCTTTTTGTGCAGGGGGAAGCAAACGCTGTGCGTGATGAGAGGTTAAGGACAGATAAATTGATGGTAAAGTACAATCACTCTGTCAGAAGCAGAAGACCTGCAGTCTTTAATCTTGCATGAGCCCCGGAGAGAAAAAAAACTGTCCGGCTTTCAAGTTCAGAGCTGTTGCCATTGAAGTGGCAAAAGAAATTCTCTCTTTTTCCCCTCTTCTCCAGGTATGCGAGAGTGAAAAATTAGATTCTACTCTCTGCAAAAGCATATCAGTGTAATTAAGGCTTTTGTCCTCTATCTAACGATCATAATTACATGCAGTCTTCCGTTTAATTTCCACCCAGAAATTCCTTGCTTGCAGCGATGGATCATCTTCAGATCCAGTCCACTTGAACGGGCCTATGTTTGACTCGTCGCAGCTCATGTGGACATTGTTCCAGATTTATGAGTGGGAGGAAACACAGAGCGCTGCAGTTTGTGATGTTTTTAACACTCTGATTAATGAGAGGAACAGACGGCGGATTATATTGTACATGTCTGTGTTTAGACAAGCTGGAAAGTTGTAGAATTTGTACAGTCTTTGTCTTCTGAACTCTTCGTATAGCCGTTTAAAATATGCCGATTTTTAATTATGTTACATTTGCATAAAAATTTAAAATACTCAGTGGTTAGCACTGTCGCCTCACAGCAAGAAGGTCACTGGTTTGAGTCCCAGCTGGGCCAGTTGGCATTTCTATGTGGCGTTTGCACTCTCCCTATGTTCACTTGGGTTTCCTCTGGGTGCTCCGGTTCAACCACAGTCCAAATACATGCGGAATAAGTTATCTGGGTTAGTGAGATTGGCAATAGTGTATTAGTGTGTGTAAATGTGAGAGTGTATGGGTGTTTCCCAGTACTGGGTTGCCGCTGCATAAAACATAAGCTGCAATAGTTGGCTGTTCATTCCACTGTGGCGACCCCTGATAAAATAAGGAACCAAGCTGAAGTGAAATGAAATTATTTGAACCTTATTTTTTTCATGTAAATATAAGTGTGTGTTCATTAAACAGCATAAACTATTGAAGTAAAACACTTTTGCGCAGACACAGTGAGCTGGAATGTGTGTATACTCTGTATGTGTGTGTGTGTGGCCTGTTTAAGCCTTAGCGTGTATCCCTTTGAAAACAAAACGAGTCTTTGTATGCTGCGAGATGAACAAGGCCTGTGCGAGTCTGGACTCGTTTAGAGATGTTCATGAGGAGCTCTGGAGCTCAGTGTCTAAGAGCGAGTCTCTTTATCTTTATCACCAGTCTGCCATCAAACCTTTCACTTCAAGCAACACTGTCATCTTCAAAACCATTTCAGTAGAACAGATACAAACACATTCACACAAATGAATCTCAATTATGCATTTTTTTTTGCATGAAAGGAATGTATTTGTGTACGCAGATCCTCTTGCTAAATGGTTTGTATAGTGTTCTAAAGGGTTTTTTTTATCTCTATGTAGTTGGTTCTATGATTAAAGGTGTCATAAGCTGCATCCCAAATGGCACACTATACACTATGCACTCATGCACTCATGCACTATGTACTTATGCACTTACACACTCAACAGGATAGTATATGTATGTAGTGTTGTCCCAAATGGCACACTAATGTTTTTTTACTAAACGGAAATTCAAACGGTTTCCCTCAGCTGTACTTACACATGCGCAGCGCGACCAATTTTCAGAATAGTTCAATGTTTTCCACTGTGTGGATTAATACTGAATGTGTGTTATTATTGGGGTTAGGGTTAAGAGTAGAGTAATATGCTGGTGTTTAACCGCATTGCTTTAATGCATTCCTGCATTGGGCTCTCACATACTCTGTGCTACTTCGTAACCATGGTGGGCGTTTCTTTCTGTCTTGTGCTGAAACCTTTCGGCCAATCACAACAGACTCGGTCATCGGACCAATCACACAGATTAGTATCACGCAAAGGAGGGGTTTTGGAACAAATGAATCATTGAACAAATCATATGGGAGTCGTTGGGATAATTAGGTAAAAATAAATGCATATTATAAGACAATGAAAATGTTTTTTGACCTTGCATGAATATCAGCCTGTTGTTGGAGTCCCCTAAACCAAAATATGACCTTCTGTAATGCATAACAGGGGCTCTTTAAGTAAAAAAAAAAAAATCTGTTTATGAAAATGTACTTTTATTTTGTAATCCCTGTAATTCTTTTTGAGGATTACAATTGATTGTTACTAATGTCAATTAGAAACAGCTTGTGGTTTTAATCTGTAACCTTCCTGGTTCAACATGGACATGGGCTGCGTCCGAAACCGCATACTTCCATACTATATAGTATGCTAAAATCAGTATGCGAGCCGAGTAGTATGTCCGAATTCATAGAATTCGAAAATCAGTATGCGAGAAATACCCGGATGACTTACTACTTCCGGCAAGATTCTGGAGTGCGCATCCCATGCACGCTGCGCTATCCCATAATGCCCCACGAGAGAATTCATGAATGGAAGGGAGGCGACGCAACTGACGCAGGTAGGTCATGTGACCATGACAAAATGGCGGATGTAGTACGTCCGAATTACATTAATACTTTTCACATTCATACTGTATAGAACGTACTTTTCTAACGGCCGAGCAGTACGTTTAAATTCAAATGCAGTACCTACTGAGTAGTAGACGGTTTCGGACGCAGCCATGGTCTTTATCTGGTTGGCAACTGGTGCTATTTAGGCAAACACACACACACACACACACACACACACACACACACACACACACACACACACACACACACACACACACACACACACACACACTTGACACTAAAATGCACTTTTAAACATTTTCTAGATTCCAACACACTCAGTCTGTCTTTTCCCTCCTGACCTCTGTTCACTCATTGAGTTCATTATTAACAAAACCCCCAGAATCCATCTGCACATTCCCCAAGGATGAGGTTTTAGTCACATAGAGCGCTCCCCATCAGGCCATGCGTGCTGTTTTAATCATAGTTCATAAAACACCTCAGTCTTTAACACACGTTTCCAGACCATTTACCGGCAGAGAGAACTTAATGATTTGCAAGTGTGTCTGTGTTACTGAATTTAATAGTGGCTGATGGTTCTATATTTTAACCACATTATGTCTGTGTCATGGTTTCCAGTGATTTTTATGTTGTATTTTTTTCATTGATAGATTTCTTCTCTTCTCTTTTAGTGCCAGGTAACCTGGGCTGTTTTAAGGACAGCGGTGATCCGACACCTTTATCTGGAAGCCACCAAACCTCCACCAAACTGACCATTCAGAACTGCATCAGCTTCTGCCGCAACCAAAGATACAAGGTATGAATTTAGGTTTCATGAAAATAAAAAAGAAAGTTTTTTACATGTTAGTATTAGTATTGTTAGTTTTCAAGATATCTATAAGCTAGTGTGCTCCAAAACAGTGGCAAAATTCGCATTTAGAAGATATAAAAGATGTTTGTCACTTCCACCTAAATGGATTAACGGTTTTATTCATGTCACCTCATACTTCATCACATCCTCATATTTCTCATCACATCATAACCAATCAAATGCTCTCTAGTATCTGACATGCCCCGCCCCCTTCAAGACGCTTCAAATTTGTTTTTCAGTTGATGCACTTAAGCTCAACCACTCTCACTGGCAGAGCTGTGATGAAACAAAACATTATTGGCTGCTTTTTAAAAAGGGCAGGAGCTACTCTGTCTTACCCTCTTTTCGTATTTTGGTTGTGATTACGTCAAACATCCAATAAAAATGCATATTTTAAAGCCCTTCATGAGACCTTTAAGGGAAATACAGTCAATAGCATGTGATTCAAAGCAAAAACATAGTGATCATAGCAAATTTCCAGAGTTTTGATTGGAAGTGATTTCCTCCTTGTCATTTTTATTATTTTTTATTATCACTATATTTGGCAAATTACAATAAAATTGAGTTATTGTGTGGTCATATACAGTGCTCAGCATATATGAGTATAAACCTCTCATTTAAATGAAAAATATTAAATACAAAATTTAAAAAGAGAAAGAAAAAAAAATAAATAAATAAATAAATAAACATATATATATATATATATAATTTGTTGACATTTTACTCAAAAAAAAAAAAAAAAAAACAACCCGGGCTCATTGTGGAAATGTAGCCCCGCGGACATTTCTGGAGACCGCGAAATACGTCCCGGGAGGTACGTATTCGAGCAGTTTTTGTTTTCGTGAATCCGCTAGAGGCCGCTGTGCGCACTTTTTCACATCTCGGACGCCTCTCAGGAGCCCGCGCCGTGCGCGCCCATGCTGTTCTCGCGTGAAAAGCTGCTGGAGGCCACTGTAGCGGCCATCAGTCCAACTGACTGGCTGAACGACTGAACGATCGACCGCCCTCCTCCTTCCCTAAACCCAAGCGACGATTTGCAAAAGCCGCCCAGAAAAAAAAGCAAAAGCCCTCGTTTGATTTTGACCGCGTTTTCAGATCTCGCCCCGTTGCGCTCTCTCTTTTGGATCTCGCCTCATTTGCTTTAATTTTTTTGGATTTTGTTTTTCATCTTACCTGAGTTCTGGAACCGCTCTTCCCCGGACTCGATCCCGGTCGTCGCCGTGGCCAGCTCCTCCTCCCTCCAGGCTTCCGCTCTGCCGACGTAACGCTGCGAGCTAAGCGGACAAACTGGTTGAGGCAGGAAAGCCCTCCACATGGAGGCGAGCCGTCAGCCGGCGAGCGCGAAAAGGAGGACCGGATCGGCGTCACACCGCCCCGTAGCGTTCGCTCGATAAAAAAAAAAAATGCGGCCATACGTACCTCCGGCCACATAAATCGCGGTCTCCAGAAACGTCCGCGGGGCTACGTTTCCAGAATGAGCTTGGGTTGAAAAAATTGTTTTAATAGAATAGAATAGAATAGAATAGTATATAACAATATATAATGTATATTTGTATGATCAGCCATTCTTTTACATATATTTTAATCTGGTTTGTCCCAGAACAAGGTCAAAATATGTTTGTGCTTTAATGTTTGCATAAATATATACAGGGTATATGTTACACTGAAGGGCAATGGAACATTATCTTAACTGATATTTTAATGTCATAATTTACCAAAATATTTTACTTGCACTTATTATGCTTTCTATGTATATGAAATCTCTTTTGTAAATGTGATTCAATTGACCTTGAGCCTGATATTTGTGCTGATTAAAATGCATAAGAAGGACCTCTTGGAATTGTGTTTTTTCCCCTGACTTGTTCAATTTATTTATTTATTTTTCAGTTAATAAAATGACTCAGCTAAAAACACACAAAAAAAATCAATATTTGTTCTAGATGTAATCATGTGCATCAACTTGCGTAGGAAGAAATCAATAACACATATTGTATTTTGCGTCCCTTTCTGATTGCCCTCACCCCAGAATTGTCCTGGCATGAAGACGAATTATGAGTTTCTGATTCGTATGTGTTTTTCCAGCTTGCCGGGATGGAATCAGGCTATGCTTGCTTCTGCGGCGATGACCGTGAATATCACCGTCACGGTGATGCTCCGAACACAGAGTGTAACCATGTGTGTTTTGGAGATCACACTCAGCCGTGTGGAGGAGATGGACGCATCATCGTCTTTGACAGTACGTTTTCAAACCGTCATGACCTGTGCAGGGGACACAAAGCACAAAGTGCCCCTATTATGCTGTTTTAAAAATTCCAGTAACACTTTACTTGAAAGGTTGTTCATAAAGGTGTAATAAAACCTTTATAATCAATGGACAAAAACAGGTTGTGATGTATTTGTTTATGCCAAGTTGTCATAACAATGTCAACTTTGCATTTGAATGTCTTAACTGAGTAAATGACAGTTGTTATAAGCGTGCATAAAATCTCATCCACATGTGTCATGTCATGATTATAAAGGCTTCATGAAAGTCTTTCGAACACTCCCTTCAAGTAAAGTGTTACCAATGTTTCTGATTGTGTTTTGAGGGTCTCCTATAATAACCTTAAACCACTCCTGAGTCACTAAACTTACATCTTCCCATGAAAATATGAAGGTGCATCACCATCAGTGTCTGAAATGGTTTGATAAAGAGTCCTGTCTATTTACACTCCGCCTTTCCAAGAGCCTGCTCTACTCTGATTGGTCTGATGATTTCAAACTACTCTGAATGGTTAGATGACGCCAACCTGATTTTACTAAATAGGACAGGTTGCTGAATTAACATCTATGTGTGTCCTGGAACAACATTCCAATAGGCCGATTAAAATTAAGGTATATGTTAACCGTTTGTCAAGTTTAGGTGTATGGTTAGGTTTATGCACTTCTACATGATCGTTTTCCAACTATTATTATTTTGGGAGTAATTTACAGTTATGGTTCGGTTTAGTTGTAATCAAAATTATCTTCCAGGATCAACGTACACTCACCGGCCACTTTATTAGGTACACCTTACGAGTTGGACCCATTTTTGCCTTCAGAACATGTCTTAATCCTTTGTGGCATAGACTCAACAAGGTACTGGAAATATTACTCAGATATTTTTTTTCATATTGACATGATAGCATCACACAATTGCTGCAGATTTGTCAGCTGCACAACCATGATGCGAATCTCTCGTTCCACTACATCCCAAAGGTGCTCTATTGGATTGAGCTCTGGTGACTCTGGAGGCCATTTGAGTACTGTGAACTCATTGTCATGTTCAAAAAACCAGTCTAAGATGATTCACACTTCATGACGAGGCATGTTAAAAAGGCAGTCATCTACTTCTTGGGTGGCATTAAAGGGTTAGTTCACCCAAAAAAATTAAATCATGTAATTATTATTATCATATAATTAGTAATTATTCGCTGTAAAGTTGTTTTAATCCAAAGACCTTCGATCAATGTCAGGCAAAAATTAAGATATCTTAGATGAAACCCAAGAGCTCTCTTGTCCTCCATAAACAGCAATAGAGACCAGAAAAGGAATCAAAATTATCCAGCTTAATCAGCTTATCCAGCACATTTTTACGCAGCGGATGCCCTTCCAGCCTCAACCCATCTCTGGGAAACACTCACACACACACTTGTACACTACAGACAATTTAGCCTACCCAATTCACTTGTACTGCATGTCTTTGGGCTGTGGGGGAAACACCCGGAGGAAACCCACGCAAAAGCAGGGAGAAAATGCAAACTCATTAAAAGACAACTGTGCACAAAGTTATTTTTACAGTTTTGCCACAAAAAAAAAAAAGGTTCTCGAAACTGCGTATGATTACAATTGAACCACAAATGTCACATGGAATGATGTGTTAACTATGGAGTTTGGAGTTTCTTGAGTTTGAAACTCTCTGGACCATTGCAGTCTATGGAAGATGAGGGAGTTTTCTTATTTCTTCTAAAATATTAAAATTTTTGTTTCAAAGTAAAAAAATTTGGATTACTCAAAACTAGGATTAGAAGTAATTAACAGAATCTTAATTTTTGGGTAAACTAGCCCTTAAAGGTGCAGCATGTAAGTTTGACACCCAGTGGTTGAACTAGGTATTGCACACCTGGTTCAAAACACATTTTCACTCGGCACCTCCACTGACGACTCTAAGCAAGAGCAGGATGCCAGATTGATAACACCAATAGGTGTGTGCCTGACTATCAAGCCTGAAGGCTGATTTAAACCGTGTTCTAACAAAAAAAAAAGAAATGGCACACGGCAGATGGAATATTTTCTATATTATATTCCATATTAAAATGTAAATATTGTCGTGTTTCATCTGGTGCAAATCTCATCACGTAGTGTGCAGTTGCAAAGTAACCTGCCCACCATATTATTTGCAAATTAATAAAACCATCCTATGGAACTCTGAATCCAAATCTCATTTCAGAGTCTGTTACTGTCCACTGGAGGTAACATTTTCGGTCACAGATGCACACTTTGAGAAACTTCCTATCTAAATGAATTAAATACACTGTTTTCCACCAAGCCAACCTAAAATGTACTTATAAAATCAAGAGGTGCTGAAATATGATTAGCTAAACTGGCATTGGGCGGGTTTAACAGACCAAAATAAAACAGACGGTCCAGCACAGAACACAACTTCAAAGCAGGATATCTGACTTCAGAATTGTTTTTCAGATAAACAAGAATGTTCACTTGCCAAGTTTCTTAAATATCTGCAAACATATTATGCTATTTTTATGCTTTAGAAAAGTTAAAAACTTACATACAGCAAAGTTTTGCTAAATGAGCAAACTATTTTTTTTTAAATGTGGATTGCCTCATACTCACTAAAATGCAATTCCAATTTTTCCATTTATTTTAATTTAATTTTGTTACTTTGTTAAAAACCTAAAGCTCTTCACTCTTCTCCCATAGCAAAAGTAGGTGCTTGTGGAGGAAACTTCACATCACCTTCAGCAGTGATCTACTCTCCCGACTTCCCAGGCAAATACAGGTCTGGCAGTGTCTGCTACTGGACCATTCAGGTACTATTCATCTTTTAATATCCTAAAGGAGAAAGAGCTCACTAGAGCCAAAATACATAATATGTATCTGGCATACTGACAGCTGTCTTCACTCTTCCAGGTTCCAGGTTCTTCTGTTATTCTGTTCAACTTTACTTTCTTCAGTATCGTGGACCAAAAAGACATGGTGGAGCTGTTGGATGGTAAAACCAACCAGGTTGTGGCACGATTTGACGGCCGCAATCCTCCACGGGACATCGTGAATATCACCGCAGACTTTGTCATTTTGTATTTTTACTCCGATAGGACAAATGAGGCACTGGGGTTTTCTGTTGTTTATCATGGTGAGAATTTATATGATTTGTATTTAATGACATTTAACTCAGTTTTTACATTTTGGTCATATCACTGCATGCAATGTAATAGAACATTCTCTATCTGCTTAAAATGTTTAAAAGGGGTCAATAAAATTGGAGAAAGAATAATACTTTTAGAATAATGCTTAATAAAACCTAATAGCATTCATAAAGGCATTGACACTGCAAAAAAATGCTTTTCTTACTTACATTTTTTAATTGTTTCTAGTCAAAATATCAAAGCATTTCTAAATTAAGAAGGAAAATAATATTGTCTTATTTAAGAAAGTCAAAGTCAAGTCAAAGTCAGTTTTATAGTCAGTTTAAGCACATGTACAGGACATACAGAGAATCGAAACTGCGTTACTCTCAGAACCTAGGTGCCTAGCATGTAATATTAATACAAAAAGTAGAATTTTAAAAAGAAATTAATTTGACAAATAATATGTCAAAATTAAATAATCAAATAATATGTCAAAATTAAATAATCAAATAATATGTCAAAATTGAGTGAATATTTCATAAAAACAAGTCAAATAATCTTGTTTTTCCTTTTGACAAGATTGGTAGAATAATCCCCACTGGTAGATTATTTTGCTTGTATTAAGGGGGGAAAATAATAATATTTTAACATCTTTTTTTTCAGTAAAGTATAGAATAATATTTCATGGATTGTTTTTTTACAATGGTCTTTTTTTAATTTAGCAATTTTTTTAACCTTTTTTCAAAGCTATTTTATGTAAATATTTTCATACACTGATATATTATCATACACTCACCGGTCACTTTATTAGGTACACCTTATCAGGCACACTAGTGCAGGGTTGGACCAGTTTTTGCCTTCAGAACTGCCTTAATCCTTCGAGCCATAAATTCAACAAGGTACTGGAAAAATTCTTCAGAGAATTTGGTCCATACTAACATGATAGCTTCATGCAGTTGCTGCAGATTTGTCAGCTGCACATTCATGATGTAGGTCTCTCGTTCCACCACATTCCAAAGGTGCTCTATTGGATTGTGATCTGGTGACTGTGGAGGCCATTTAAGTACTGTGAACTCATTGTCATGTTTAAGAAACCAATCTGAGATGGTTCACACTTTATGACATGGTGCGTTATCCTGCTGGAAGTAGCCATTAGAAGATGGGTACACTGTGGTCATAAAGGGCTGGACTTGGTCAGCAACAATACTCAGGTAGGCTGTGACGTTGACACATTGCTCAATTGGTACTAGTGGGTCCAAAGTGTGCCAAGAAAATATCCCCCACACAATTACACCACCACCACCAGCCTGAACTTTTGATAGAAGGCAGGATGGATCCATGCTCACATGTTGTTGATGCCAAGTTCTGACCCTACCATCCGAATTCTATTTTCCAATTTTGGTGAGCCGGTGTGAATTGTACCCTCAGGTTTCTGTTCTTGGCTGACAGGAGTGGCACCCGGTGTGGTCTTTTGCTGCTGTAGCCCATCCGCCTCAAGGTTTGATGTGTTGTGCGTTCAGAGATGTTCTTCTGCATACCTCAGTTGTAACGTGTGGTTATTTAAGTTACTGTTGCATTTCTATCAGCTGGAACCAGTCTGGCCATTCTCCTCTGACCTCTGGCACCAACAAGGCATTTGCGCCCACAGAACTGCCACTCACTGGATATTTTCTTTTTTTTCCAGACCATTCCCTGTAAACCCCAGTGATGGTTGTCCATGAAAATCCCAGTAGATCAGCCGTTTCTGAAATACTCAAACCTGCCTGTCTGGCAGTGACAACCATGCCACGTTCAGAGTCACTTAAATCACCTTTCTTTCACGTTCTGATTCTCGGTTTGAACAGCAGCAGATCATCTTGACCATGTCTACATGCCTAAATGCATTAAGTTGCTGCCATGTGATTGGCTAATTAGAAATTTGTATTAATGATTAGATGGGCAATAAAGTGGCCGGTGAGTGTATGATGTCTCCATTATTCAGCAAACATGCATTAAATAAAGTTTGCAAGTAATGATGTTCAGCTTTAGCATCAAAGGAATACATTTTGAACAAATAAATAAACATCTTAACTCTTATTAAACTCTTAAACTCTTATTATTATATTTATTATTACAAATATTAAAAGGAAACTTCTTCTAAGACAAAAAAGTGCAATTAAATTCAGTAGATCACAAAACTACTCTATAGCCCAATAACTCAAATAATCTTTTTAAATACTGTGTAAATAAAAGGTTGTATATATTGTTGACTTTTGCAGTTCATCTTGCAGATATATGGCATTAAAATTATATATCAAAGCAGAAAAAATCTGTCATTATGTTTCTAAATGTCATCAAACACACTCAGTTGTTGTGTGACTTAAAAAACAGAGAGTTAATATGTATAGGCAGTGCTCTCTGGATGCTTTTTGGTCATATCAATACAATTTTCAGGCAAGCTGTCACTTTTCTGCTGTTTTGTTTTTGGGAGGCAGAGTTCAATAACCACAATCTGAGGAAGAATAAAAGGGAGTGGGAAGTATAAAATGGAAAAAAGCTTTTTCTGAAAGAAAAGGTCAGCGAAGCAAATTGGCTTTCACTATTCATAGAGCCTTTTTTCCCCTGCAGGCAGAGTTCGATTCAAACACCGCACACTGCGTTTATATCTGCGTCTAAATGAAAGACGTGATGTTATTTTGAAAGAGCTGAAAAATTTCTCTCCATAATGTCCGGGGGGACGTCAAAAGTGATGTTCTGCATTTTAATCAGGTGATGCATATCCGAACAAGCCATGCTTTTGGCTTGGTTGTGTTTCGTTAGTCGATTACCATAATAGTACAGGGCTGTTGAATGCTTGATTCTGATTGGTAATGGCCATAGTAGTATATGCAGTTATTTTTAGATAAACAAACAGCTGAAGTAGTTCCAGGCAGGTCTTGACTGCATTACATATCCCTACACTTAAGGGTTTAAGTAAATTCACAGCCTACAACAGCAAAAAACGTTCTGGATAAGATGTGTAGGAATCTGATTGTACACAGAAAATTGAAAGGCAAAGTCGAAATATTAATAGTGGAAAGGAATGAATAGATTTTCCCAACCTGCAAATATTAATCGAAAACCAAATATAAAAGTGGACATTTAAGCACTTTAACAATGTGACCAATGATTAAATCTTAGATGAATATCTACAATATAGATGTAAACATTGCCGAATTGGAACTCTGACAAGGACATGACTGTTTTAAATGACTGAAAAACATTTACTAGTGCAGCGTATTGATCGCAAGTGCACACAATTTACAGTTTGTGATAATATCTCTGGTTTGTTCTGTTTATATGTGATCCAAATATTCCTAGCTTGAAACAGACAGAAATGTAAGCGGATTATGCTGCATATTTATGGAAACCTCAGGGTAGCTGCCATTACTGCTCATTGTTTTTTGCCCACCTGGGGCCTCATGTGTCAACGTTGCATACGCAGAAAAACTTTGTGTACGCCAGATTTCACCCTTACGTTTGGATTTACTAACGATGAAATGAACATGAGAATGTGCGTTGGTCCACGCCAACTTCATGTCAGCCGTACGTGCATTTCTTGTGTGTGTTGTTTATTTCCATTGGCGACTCCTAGAGGCAATTGTGTTAAATTGCACACTACAAAGTATCTTTGAGCCGTGCAATGACAGCTATATTGGACGGTATCATCCGCATGTCTAGCAGGTATATAAGGTTTTCATAACATGTAGTTTACCAGCCAAACATTAAAGCACAATTTGCAGCGATCGCCGGTTTTCCCAATCTAATCGGAGCGATCGACTGCACGCACATTGCTATAAAGGCGCCATCTGAAGATGAGTTTGCATTCGTGAATCGGTAACATTTCCATTCAATAAATGTGCAAATAAAATGTGATGCTCAAATGGGCTTAACATAATACACACACTTATTAATGATTCCTACTTGTCTTCTTCGTGATGAAGAGTAGGCAAAATCTGATATGTATTGGAGGAAAGAAGAATGAGTTCATCAGACGCTGGATTCGAACCGAGTTCATGATCAAATGTGTCAAAACATGATGCCATGTGCTTTACGAGCACGCTCTCTTTAGTCATGTTGTCTCTGTCAATCAAACGGTGATGGATGGGAATCAATCAACTAGCTCATTCCAACGAGGTGTGCTATTTGCTCTTAGCTTAAATAGACACTACAAAATTTTACACCTTTACATCCGACCATTTCTTTTTTAATTCACTCACAGTGCAATGTTCAGACCCCACTGCTTTTGCCATTGCTTTTTTGTTTGGTTTTGCCAAAGTAGCGTCATTTCCATATTTATTAGGAGGAGGAGGCAGGGAGGGGTTTTGCACTCGAGCATGTGCGCTCAGTTTCACGTTAAGTCGGATGAACAAAAAGAATATGCGTGGGATTTCGCGTACGAAGTGTTTCATACATCTGAATTTTTTACTGCGTACGCACATTTACAGCTTTGTACGTGCGCAATGTTTAAGTATAGCTTCAACACAAATCTTTATACATGAGGTCCCAGGTCTCCACACAGATCATGTGACTTAAAACACAAATCACATGACTGCAAACCACTTGAATACTCACATAATTGTAAACAAAGAGATCGCTGTCATTTAAGGATAAGATTTGATGCCAGGAATAAGTTACCTCTGACATTACTTCAAAGACCACCTTGATCAGACACAGCATTATTTAGAGGTTGATATTACAAAACAAGTATTTTTACGATTAATAAAATAAATAAATTTAAATATTTTAAATTTAAATATTTTAATGTAATAATTAAATAAATTTTTAATTGACAAGATGAAGTGTGATCACATCCTCTAGAAAGCACCATTAAAAAGGTTGGCATCATAAACTTGCATTAGCTTGGGAAACCAGGGGAAAAAATCCCTTTACAAACAAAATTTATAAGACAGCTGCTGTGAAATTTTATTGGTGGATCCAAATATGAAGTTTAATCATAAGCTTAGCCAAGAATTTTAGAGAATTTGATGCGTCCCCATCAGGGCTTGACATTAACTTTTTTGATCACCAGCCACTGTGGCTAGTAGATTTCCTACATTACTAGCCACTTGCCATTTTCACTAGCCACAATTTTGTTGCTTGAAAAATATATTTTATATTAATAAATGTGACTACTAATCCTCTCATAAGGTATTCAGTCGTGCTGCTTTTCGATTCTAAGATCACATTTGCACGCATATTGGGCCATGCTTATTGTCGAACCCTGCTTTAACAAAACTACAATGTAAAAATTATTTCCAACCTGCCAAAGTGGCTAGTGGGTGCGGCTGTCTAACCTGCCAAAGCTGAAATCTACTCGCATTTGGCGGGTGTTCATGTAAAGCCCTGGTCCCCATTCAAAAAGATACCAGATGCACTTGCATACATTTAAGGCATTTCAAAAAATGTCCGCTGAATGAAATAACTTGCCTTAAAGCGACTTTGGCATTATTTTCTAACAAGTCAACTGGCCTGTAAACAATTCCTCCTTTCTGAACTCTCCACAGCTTTAAGAAATCCAGCATTCAGACCTGAAGAGGAGGACAATGGTGATGAAGAAGACACAAGTACAATGCGGCCGAACTCAGGAAGCACTACAACAAAATCAAACACCAGTCAGAGTGGAAAGTCCTCCCATCTCTACTACGTGATCACATCAAGTCCTGCAAACATGCCAGGTCAGTGGCATGGACCAGGCCGGACTGCGGGCCACAACACCAGTATGTGTTCAGTTTCCTTCATTACACTTCAGTTCTGATACTCTTACTCCTCCTATTTTTCATGCTAACAAACTAGATGTAGCAGTAGTTATGTATTTGCTCAGGCAATTGGTACTAAGTATATTGGAAATTATTTTAGGAATTGATTAAGTCAAGTCAAATTATAAAGTCAAGGCAATGTATTATATTTATATTGTATTAATATATATTAATATAGATTTATTTGTTTATAATGCTCAAAAATGCTTCAATAAATATATTTCCTTTTACAGTATTTACAAGAACAAAATGAAGTGATCAGAAGTGATTGTAAAGATTTTTATAATAGAATGTAAAGTCCAAAAATTAATAAATAAATATTTTGAAAAAAAAATGTGTTTATCATTTGGAAAATCTATTCGGAATTGTAAAACTTCACAGCTTTCCCAGTACTGGGTTGCAGCTGGAGGGCTATCCGCTGAGTGAAACAAATGCAGGAATTGTTAGTGGTTCATTCCATTGTGGCAACCCCTGATAAAATAAAGGGACTAAGCTGAAAGAAAGTGAATGAATGAATGAATGAATGAATGAATGAATGAATGAATGAATGAATGAATGAATGAATGAATGAATGAATGAATATTTCACAGCATTACAGTTGCTGCATTTGTGTTAAAAATAAGAGACTGCTTTTAAAAACATTAACATTGAAATTAAAAAAATACAATAAATAAACTTACTGACCCCAAACCAGTGGTGCCCAAACTTTTTCTTATGAATGGCCAAAATCCAAGCTTGATAAAGAGCTGTGGGCCAAAGGTAAATATAGCAAACTGTGTAACATTAAAGTTGCCATATGTAATATCCTCATTTATTTCATAGTAGTTAAAAATAAAAATAAAAGATTACTTCAACTATATTTACTAATGCATTCTAATTTTTGGAAAATGTATATTAATTTAACAAACTTTGCCTTGATTTGCACGCTGATGTCTTCTGCTTTGTCCCATATTCGTTAAGTGACATTATGTACATTGTTTAAAAATCTGTTTCGTTTACAAAATTTTATTGAAACATTCAATTTCATTTTTGTAGCTGAACAATAAAACAAACAGATTACATTAAAATAGAAATGAGAAACTCTGTTACAGGCATTCCCCAACCCTTCCCAATCCTTTTCCCTTTGGCACGCCAAATCAAAAGATACAAAGGGCCAACTTTGGCCTGCGGGCCCTAGTTTGGCCATCTCTGCCCTAAACATTGCGTTTAATTAATTATTTCTAAAAATCCCAAGAAGCAAGATTTAAAACATTTTAGCTGATACAGTATATCTCAGAAGGAGGTATAGTCTAAAAATAGTCACACAATTTTCACAACTATATGGTATAATATATTCTGTTTATATTGTCTGGAAAGCTATATAGAATATTTGCTACAATTTTAATGTTGTTAAACATTATTTAATCAATTTCATATAAATTCATTATGATTTTACAACTTTTTTTATTCTACTTCTAAAGTTAACCAATCTTTATTCAAGTCAGTGATCTCAAACTCAATTCCTGGAGGGCTGCAGCTCTGCAGATTTTTTTCTCCAACCACACCCAACTCACACCTGCTTAATCGTCTCTCGTAGTCTTGAACACCTTGATTAGTTGGATCAGCTGTGTTTGATTAGGGTTGGAGCAAAACTGTGCAGAGCTGCGGCCCTCCAGAAATCCAGTTTGAGACCTATGATTTAAGTAATCCCTTTCAGTACAAGCTCAAATACAAGACTATAATTGTCTAATAAATGTGTCATGTTTTACAGTGTGGACCATCTATGCGTTAGCTGCCCTGCTAACGCTAACAGTCATAGCCATGGTCGCTAAACTGCTTCTGCATCTTACTGTAAAGTAAGTACACGTGCATGCTTGCATTTTTTATATGCAAACCGGGGACATTTTCGAAGCCATTAGTCAAAATAGCACTGAAATCTTACTTGTGATTATCTCTGAGTTGAAAAAATGGGAACAATATATTCTGTATGTTTATCACTGCTAATTCAAACAGCTCCAGTCTGTGGCAAAACAACAAAAACCAGTGCCCCCAGAAAACAGAAACATCTAGTCGCCAAAATAATAAAGTGTCCTATAAAGAATCATGATGATTAAATTGACTTGCTTATCTTCCTTGTTGAAGGTTTTATTGCTGTTAAAAGGACACTGATTTGATTTGCTGCTTTATCAGGGCTGTGTTGTCAGATTTATAGTGTCCGTTTTTGCTCTACATATACATCTTCCTGCACATTTTGCATATCATTTGCTCTAAGCATCCATAAACATTTGATATATATCAACCGTCTTTTTATCCCTTCTCAGGTCCCCGTCCATCCCATCAATAAGCGGGTCAGAATCATGCGCACAGAGCACTACATCTGAACCCTGGATCATCCTCTACAGACCTTCCACCATCTCTCTGTTCAAGAAGAAGCTCAAAAACCACCACGGAGACCTCAGCCCACTTGTGGGAAACTAACCTCAACGCCTCTGACCTCTACGGCTGCACAAAGGATGTATACACTGTACGCAATGCTGGTCTTCTGCTGCTGGGCTATAAGAAAGACATCCAACCGAAATGACCCGAGCAGGCCTCAGTTGATCGATTGTTGGGTAACTAATGAATAAACTGTGCAAAAAGAGCTTGATTCCACTGGCTGAAGCGCTTACTCTCAATTTGCATCTCAACCAATCACCAATCATGTGACAGGTGCACATATAAACCAAGAGATTTGATTAGCAAAGGAGTTCTGGGATGTTTCCGTAGCCGCATGTCAGAACGAACAATGACCGTTGGCGGAAATAAAATGGATAGTGGCTCAGCCGTTTCTGCAGGTGCTTTCACAGAAGTGATTGACCGATAAGCGTCTGCATGAAAGAAAGCAGGAGACTCCCTGTGGAGCACACTCTGAAAGACAAAACCACTTACATAACCAAAATAATGCCACGGTGCCCAAGCAAGCCCATCTAGAGGAGAGATACGATTGTGTTTCAGACGCTCTTTAACCTCTAATGTAGGTCACCTGTTGTTGAGGAGCACAGAACTCCTTTCTTCAGCTGGCTGAATCGGTGGAGGATTGATGTCACAATCATGTCGGGAGCAATTCAGACTCAAAGTGAACAACAAAAAAAGTCTCTCTTGAGAGAGAAAGAGAGATTCAGCAAGATGGACTGCGGAGATCCAAAGCCTGAAATTGCTACAAGTTGGGCAATGTTCAAAACAAGCTATGTTCGAGACATCCCTGTGGACCTCGCTTTCGTCTCTCGTTGTTTGTGTTGGGTTTGATCTTTCTGCATTGCCTTTAAGTGCCTTCAGGATTGAAAAAAAGACTAAAAAAAACAAACAAAAAAAACTCTTGTCTGTCTTCTAGGCTGTCACAATGTCTCAGTGATGTAAACAAGCATTAATCCTTCACACCATTGAATTGCAAATGAGAAAAAGCACCACCGAGGAAGTGATTTTCTTCTTCTTGGGGATTCTTGAGATGAATCTAGTCTTGTGGGTGTCATTGGGCCATGTTATTCTTGTCAGGTCTTTCGACTTGAGCAAGAGAAGCATTGTGATGAACATTGTGTAATTCTGTGTGGGAACAATCAAACGCCATCCCCTTTCAATCCACTCCCCAACAGAGGCAGTGGTGAAATTCTTCCAAAACAATTTGCTCTTTCTCTCCCTTCACCACAACTTAAGCTCTCACATTCTGAAGCACATTTCCAGCCAGTTGAAAACCATACAGATCACTGCACTGCTAGCTGCGGGGATTGAGAATGTTTCTCAGAAGGAACGCTAGTTCTAGTTAAAAAGATCATCCAATAATTCAAAAACATTCTGTCATTTTCTCAGCCTCATGACTTCCCAAACCTATATGACTACCTTGGAACACAAGAGAAGATGTTTTGAACAATTTTTGACCATGCATTGAAAGTCAGAGGGATACAACACAAAATTTAGTTATGGAAGGCAACTATTAAAAGCTGTTGGGATAAACCAAACCAACACATTAGCCACTCAGATGCGGTCAAGCTACACTTTCTACCCTATTGACTTCCATTCATGCGTATGGGCAAACACAAGTTCATTTGGCAAGTTTCACAAGTTGCTGTGTTCCAGATAGGCAAGGGCAGGTAAAAGATTCTAGCGGTATGATAACCTTTGATAAAACCGTGACTTTTCCAAACCGCGGTAAACCGTCAAACCGATTATTGTCCGATGCCTAGTTCCAAAGTTCAAGCTTGGTGAACTCACTTGGTGAATGAGGGATCAAAACGTGACCTCTCTGCAAACGCTCATTTCATCAGTTTCACATCACCTTGTTTTATCTTACCCGTTTCACAACATCGTTTGACAGAATTTTGCATGGTCGAACTCTAGTGTGACCACAGCTTTAGTGTGCCGGCTTCACTTGCTAAAACACCAGTTGGAATCCCGTTAAGAGTCTGTAGAGATTTTGACTGTGGCCCCTGGCAATGGTTAGACGAGGCTGAGGAGAGGGTGGCATGGTGGTTAGCACTGTCACCTCACAGCAACGTCGCTGGTTCAAGTCCTGGCTGGGCCAGTTGGCATTTCTGTGTACAGTTTGCATGTTCTCCCCATGTTGGCATGGGTTTCTTCTGGGTGCGAGGGTTTCCAGAAAGTTGAATAAACTAAAATGGCCGTAGTGTATGTGTGTGAATGTGAGACTGTATGGGAGTTTCCCAGTACTGGGTTGCATCTGGATGGGCATCCACTGCGTGAAATATATGCTATGAGTAAGTTAGCAGTTTATTCCGCTGTGGCGACCCCTGATAAATAAAGGGACCAAGCCGAAGGAAAATGAATGAATGAGTTTGAGGAGGCCCCCTTAAAACACAGGGTCAACTCAACTCAATTTATTTCTAGAGCACTTTCAACCAACCACAATGGGTACCAAAGTGCTGTACATGAAAACACATAATACATGCAAACAAACAAGAGACCAAAATACATAAACGCACAACACATGATTAAAAGCTTAAGAATATAAGTGTGTTTCAGTGACCTCTGAAATGACTCCAAATTTGGAGATGTTCTTATGAAGAGCAGAAGATCGTTCCAAAGTCTTGGAGCTGCTACTGAAAAAGCTCTATCACCTTGACATTTCAAGCGTGATCATGGAACTTGCAAATAGAGTTAAACCCTAGAGTGAAGGGGTCTTACATGTTGGTGTATAATATTAGCTCAGAAATATACTCAGGGGCCAGGCCATGGAGGGATTTAAAAATATACAGCAGTACTTTGACTGAATTCTAAACTGGATCGGTAGCCAGTGTAGGGAAACCAGTACAGGTGTGATGTGCTCTTGTTTTTTTTTTGTTTGTTTTTTTCGTGCCTGTTAAAAGCCTGGCAGCTGAGTTCTGGACCTGCTGTAGTTGAGAGAGAGGGAGGCCTTACTCACACCCAGATACAATGCGTTGCAATAATCCAGACAAGAAGACATGAAGGCATGAACAGCCTTCTCCCTACCCTATCCCGATGTCTCTATCTATGACTCTCTAATGAGTGTAAGGTTTAGAGGTTTTGAGTGTTATAGAGCCCAATTAATAAGAGCTGTGTGAGTAAAGCCCAAAGTACGGATGGCCAGTAATGGCCAAAATTCCATTTTATGAGTAATTTTATTTCAACGTAACAATATATTTAACAATATCAACAAAAAAGATTGTAATAAAAAATGTAATACTTTATACATGAAAAGGCCTGTAGATTTATGTCCATAGTAGATGTTTTGTTCTTAGATAAAACTTTTTATTAAGCCTGGTTTATACTTCTGCGTCGGGTGATAGGTGTGACCCATGGCGCGTGCCTTATACTTATACTTATCTTTGTGTTACTCTGCAGTAACACTTCCGAAACATTAGCCGGCAGTGAGGTTTTTATGTTCCTCTTTGTCGAGTTTCTTCGTTGATGTTTTGCTTTTTCTGAACACTTCCTTAATGTAGAAGTAGCTCTAACTCTCTTATTTTGAGGTGTGAACTGGCAGACGTGCAACAACTTTAATCATGAGGTAAAAACAACACAAAACTTTCCATCAGGAGCTCCTCTATGGGAATCGACACTTGTAAACACTCGCTCCATCTGGCTCGCGCAGCTCTCTGTCCCGCCCACACTCGTCAACGCTACCAAGCTGACCAATCACAGACGTGTCGTTTCATTTTTTGAGAGGTGCGCATCAGCGTCGGCAACAGCCACAGCGAGGGTTATGCGTCCACGTGCAGGCTGTGCCGAAGCTTGATGGAGAAGTATAAATCCGCCTTTACTGTAACACAGCATTCCCAGAATAAACATCTCATGGGGCAGACACTAGGACACAGTTGGAGACACATAAGTTAGCCACACCCTCTAGTTTATATTATATTATATTAATATCATCATACTTCCCAGCTCTAGTCAAAAGTTTACTTCGCCTGTCCACATTTCATGCGCAGTCTTTAAAATGTGATATTGGTCATCAGGTGTTACCATGGGGTGCCCAAACTCAGTTCTGGAGGGCCAGTGTCCTGTAGATTTTAGCTCCAACTTGCCTCAACACACCTGCACGGATTTTTCTAGTAAGTGCTTGGTTAGCTTGCCCAGGTGTGTCTGATTGTGGTTGGAACTAAACTTTGCAGTACATGGGCCCTCCAGGACAAAAATTTGGCATGCCTGTCATAGACACTTGCTTCTTGCTTTTATATGTATAGCATCCAAGCAAACAATTTTCTGTTTATTAGACATCTAATAGACATCTAAAAATAGATGCCTAAGAAAAGCCCAAAACTAGACCAGTCGTCAAATAAACAGGTTAGACAGACTTTACATGTGTAGTCATTAATTTCTGTTTATTTGACGACTAGTCTAGCTTTGGCCTATTCTTAGACGTCTATTATATTTTCACTGACAGCTCACATTTAGCCTTGTTTTAACCAAGACGACTATGTTTAGACGTCTATTAGACATTTTATTAAAAACAAAAAAAAATGCTTGCTGGGATCTACACCGACAGGAAAATTAGGCTGCTTCCAGATGTTGTGTGTACAACAGCAAGCCCAATGTGAATATTGAAACCTAATGCGTTCTCCAGGTAATACTGCACGTGGGTCAGACTTTTGCATTTGTGATTATCCCCAGTTAACTATATTTTGAAAGCGATGTGAAATTGGCTATACATGAGAGAAAAGCAGTGCAAAAAATAATAATTTTCAAATCTTAAACTCGATTACCTTGGCCTCACATTAGTAACCAAACATGTAGTACCTTTTCCTTTTTATCAAAAACTATTTGGAGAACCAGTATGTATGCAAGGAGCAATACCAGTAGCCAATAAGTGAACTGCAGAGACAAATTTAGTGAATTTAGTTTTTGAGAAACTAAAGTTTTTGAATCAAATTACTCTGAATTTACTCATTTACCTAAATGTAATGAATGAGCCCCACTGTACCCAACTGACTTTCATTGTATAAACAAAAAAATGTGAGTGATTGATGACAGAAATGTTTTTTGTTTTTTTTTTGTTTTGAGTGTACAAACATCAAATGTCATGAAATTCAGCTTGCAGTTTTGTACTTAGTTCTGTGCATAATATGTAATGTAAGCTTCAGTGGCCCTTTAATCTAAAATTTCTTTTGACAACAGTCAGCATTCATTGTGATGAGCATTACCATCGCATTGGACAAAAAAGAAATTCACCACATTAAGCACTTTATTAGCGAAGTACTTATCTTCTATGTTTTATGAGAAACCAAAAGCATTTTTCCAAACAATTTACAATGATTGTATCTAAACTTGCTTCTTCAAAATCACTATATTGTACAACAGAACAACTCTCAAATTCAACTCTTGGAAGGCCGCAGCTCTGCATAGTTTAGCTCCAACCACCTCCAGCTCACACTTACTTAATAGTCTCTTGTAGTCTTGAACAGCTTAATTAGGTTGGAGCAAAGCTCTGCAGAGCTGCGGCCCTCCAGGAATCCAGTTTGAGACCTATGCTGTAATACAACCTCAGTTAAATGAACACTCCTTTTTTTGGAAATAAATTTTAATTTTGCATCTGTAGACAGTTGAGTTTCACAATTTTTAATCCATTCAGCTGATCTCCAGGTCTGGCAGGAACATTTTTAGCTTAGCTTAGCATAACTCATTGAATCGGATTAGACCATTAGCAAAAAATGACCGCAGAAAAACTTATTTTTTATTTAAAGATTGACTTTCCTGTGGTTACATTGTGTACTAAGATTGACTGAAAGTTTAAAGTTGCTACCTTCTATTCTGATAAGGATAAGAACTATACTCTCATTCTGGCGTAATAATCAAGGGACTTTGCTGCCATACCATGGCTGTAGCAGGTGCAATGATATTACGCAGCATTTGAAAATACACTGGAATAAGAGAGAATCTTTAAAACAGGACAATTATCAAATCTTTTTCAAATTTTAAACTAAAATGCTAATGG